TTGTCGGCGAGGGTGATCCTAGCGTTCTCTCTGTTCTCCTGCCTAGCTAAAACTATGATGCCATTGATCACTCGATAAGAGTTTATGGCAAGTTGCATAGGGTTCAACCTATAATAACACAGAATCTCGTGAAAAAAAATGTTAAGTGGAAGCCGAAGTCCACACTCAGTAAAGGCTACAATAGGGAGAGGCATGGTGTTTTCGGTTGGCATGATAGAGTCATTATCTTCAGCCAGCCTCAGATGGACATCGGCAGGAATTGAGAACTCCCGCCTGAAGTACTCAAGTTTGGTCGGGGTGTCTACCCTATGTCTCTACATACCCATAACGTCGGCCTAAAATCAGAAGGCTAGGTTTCAGAAAAATGATGCTCTTAAGGGGTTATCAAGACCTCGGCGAAACCCTAGGTATATGCTGGTAAGGATTGTTTCAGTTTTTTTCTAAGAATTGGTAGGTTCTATAGACAAATCCCAAACCTAAATCTATGAAGGCAAAGATTGAAAGCAAAAATTGAAGGTGGAGATCTGGCAAAGACACAAAAAACAGAAAACAAAGGCGAAGTTTCAGAAACAAGAACAGGGATGGGCTATCAAGAACATGAAGAATACGAGAAATAAATGACCAAGATCAATGGCAAAAATACAGTGAAGTGGTGCAACGGTGCGTGTGTTCAAGATATAGGCAAGGGCCAAATCAAGGAATAAACACACTCAGATGCATGATTCACAAAATAGATATTTGAGCAAGGCAGTAATAACAAGAGATTCCAGAAATGGTCAAGAATTGAAATCAGAAAGAATAGTTGCTTACCAGAAAAAATGAAGCCGGAATAGAATTCGCCGAAGATAGACGACGGTTACTGAAGTACCAGAGTGATAAAAGCTTCACCAGAAAGGCGAACGAAGACGGTTGCAGAACTTGGAGCCTTAGCAATGGCGGATTCAAGAAGCAAGGGCTTTAGAGAGAGAAAAGCAAGTAAATCGAATACAAAGGTAAGGAAAGAAAGAGGGAAAAAACAAAGTTTTGTTAAAAACTTGAAACGGCGGCAAAACAGGGCATTTAATGCACCTAGAACATCGCATACGTCAGGTGGCGTGCGCAGAAAAAACGTGGTTTATAAGCGCGTCACATACACGGGCCAGAAAAGATGAAACGTGTGCAGGAAACGGTTGAAAAGTGATGCATGACAGCTCATGCGCGTGGAAAAGTTCATTTGAGTTCTTGTTCTTGAAAACAAGACATATCGGCTTGACATGAATGATCTCGGCCGAAGAGTTCTTACGCCGAGGTACTAGAAGACAATATAGATATAGGTTCCATCACCTTAGAATACCGAGGTAATAGAACCTAGGGGGCAGTTGTGTGGATATATTTTTTGAGTACCAACAAGTGGCAAGGTGACGCCGACGTGTCAACCGAGGTGCCACGTGTCCTGGTCGTGACGCCGAGGTGATCTCGGTAAAGCCGAGTTTATCTGTGAAGATATCGGAATCCGAGATAAGTGGATAAGGGACAAGAGTCCTAGAATGAGAGAAGACTTCAGTTTGTATTAAAATAAGACTCTTAGAGAGTTTATCCTAATCTTACTGGGAGTCCAAGATTAACAGTAATCCTGAGTCCATAGAAGTCAAGGCTTCTATTGGGACTAGGTTTATGTTGGCTATAAAAGAGAGGCACCCCCATGGGTCTAAGGTATGCTTTTGATACTCAAGCTTGTGAGTTTAGTACTTAATTTATCTTTGAGAGACATATTGACTTGATCGTCGAAGTGCCCCCGGGTGGTTGAACCACCGCGGGATTCTTATATTTCTGTTGCAGGTCAGTCAGGTGCCATCTATTCTGCCGGTGCTCTCCAACTGGTTACTAAGCGGGTAGTGTGGTCAGAAAATTACCCACATAAGTTTCTTCTTGCATTTGTTTAAGTTCTTTTTCTTTCATTTTAAGAATTTTAATGTAATTATAATTTATGTTATAATGATTGATTCATTATACTTTATTGTAATGCCATGCATTGTAATATACCCCCCCCAAAAAATAAAAATAAAAATAAAAAATAAATAAATAGCAAGATGATTTTTTGATGAATTTATTGGATCTAGTTTCTTGCGAGTTGAATGAAGACCCAATCTTGTCCAGTTGGGTGTGTGGATTCCATCATAAGTTTACTATGATGATTTTAATAATTCATCTTGTAAGTCTTTATATGTAATTTATCTATTTAAAAAAAACTAAATTGTTCTGATAATCACAATTGCAAGATTTTCTCAAATTTGTCTTTAAAAAATATAGACAAACACTATTTTGAAAATAGCTATCTACATTTTTGGATGCAACTATAAAAAAATTGATCATATCAATATAGGGGTGGGCGTCGTGTTGTGTTGCCTCGTGTTCGTGTCGTGTCATCTCGAGTTCGTGTTAGAATTACCTCAATACTAACCCGATCCATTTATTTGTTCGTATTATCGTATCGTGTCATTTTCGGTTCGTATTCAGTTTGTGTCGTGTTAAAAAATTTCACTATTAATTAAAAATATCAAATGTATGGGAAAAAAATTTGAAATTTTTTTTAATAGTTAAATTTAATGAAAAAAACTCCATTAAATGAAATTATTAATAAAAATATTTGATTTCAACTTAATTTTATTTTCTTAATTTATAAAAATTATATTTTATTATTATATTTTTTACTATATTAACTCAAAAAAATAGACAAAAACCTATATTAAATTTAAAATCGTATTTTATATATTTTTTAATAAATTGAATGTAATTACGTAAGAGATTAAAAAATGTCATGGTACTGTTTAGTGGAAATAATATTAAAATGTGTAACTAATTCTTCATTATACGGGTTATCCATATCAATTTCGTGTTACACAGATTTGATATTAACCCGACTTGTTTAATATTCGTGTTATCGGATTTTGTTATATACATGTTCGTATTAGAAAATATCCAACCCTAACCTGCTAATTTCGTGTACAGTTAGAGTCGTGTTATTGTGTTGTGTCGCAAATTCTCACTCCTATATCAATATGATTTTTTTTCTTGAATAATCTATACTTACAAAATGAACAACTATAACAAAATTATGTATTTACTGTGATTATCATATCAATATGATTTTTTCTTGAATAATCTACACAAAGATTTTTACAAAATGAATAACTTAAATTATCAAAATGAGACATATGATAAGACAATAAGTACAATTGAACGACACAAAACCTTTCTCCAACTAGAGAGAAGAAGTTAGTTCAAATTTTAATTATCTAATCACGTCTTAGATTGTATCAATCTTTTTCCTTAAGCTTGCAATTAAATAAAGTTTTTACAAGTTAAAAAAAAAAAAAAACAAACAAACAAACAAACAAACAAACAAACAAAAAGAGGTAATATTATGTAAAATATAAAAAATTTATAAATTATTTCTACTTGTAGATGTGACAATTGAGTTGGTCATTCCATTCTAGTGAATTTTATTCAAATAGATAAAACTTTATCATTGTGCGTCATAAACGGTACAGAACTCTACTTATTACCTAAATACTTTTTGAGGAAAATTTGATCCACAACCTTCGACTCTTCTAATGCGTGGCAATAAAATTTATGCAAGAATTGCTTCTCATCATTGTGGTATAAAAAGTGAAAAGGGCACATTTGGAAATTTTTGCTGTTCACCGTTGAGGAACCTAATTATCAAAAGTAATTCCATGGCATGGGGAGAATGTTTCAAACGATTCTAGGATCTTCCTCCTGAGTAATTATTGGATAATTCTAAAGTATATATATAGTAGTAGTTTGAAAAGTTAATAAAAGGTTGATTTTTTTGTAATTTTTTGACTTTTTTATTCTAAAAAAGCTAATTTTTTAATAATTTTTTTTACTAAAAAAATGAAAAAATTGACTTTTTTAAAATGTTACCAAAACAACCTCATAGTATTATTTCACTTTATATTAGGGCATTATAGAAAATAACTCGTGTTGCAACTCATTGCAAACAATCATTCCTCAACTTTCGAGGCAAATGCATGCTTTATTTTTTGAATTGTATAAAACTTAGTAGAATAGCCTCCGTTTGAGAAGTGGGTTGACTTTTTAGTTTTTTAATTTTTTTGACTATTTTAGCTTGGGCTAAAAAGCTTGGTTTGGGAAGAGTTTTTTGACTTTTTGACTTTTTTGACTTTTTTTGTGAGAGAAGAGTGTAATGATTATGGGTTGAATATGATGTTTTATTTTTTATGGCTAAAATAGTCTATTTTGTCTTTTGTGGCTAAAATAGTCAAAAAAAGCCCGAAAAAACCCTTCCCAAACGGACCCTAAGACTGATATTTTAGATAATCTTTTCTCTTGATATGTCTAATACGTATAATTGACAAATAACTATATGTATTTATGTTTATAAAGAAAAAATAAATTTGAAGTGATTCTCACTTTAAAGAGACTTCTCAATAGCAAAATGGAAAAATTTACTTATATAAGTTACATTATATAATATCATATAGATCAAAGCATTAAAGTTGGAAATTCCAACCTAGTTTAGCACTCATTTTTATCTTCTTCTGTTTTTTTTTTTTTTTTGTATGTATCTAAAAATATATAATTGCATTAAGATTTTAATTATTTTAATACTATTCTAATTTTAACAACACTTTCCATATATCTCACAACGACACATCTTTTATTATTTGCCTAACTTAATTTAGAAATAGTATCAAAATATATGAAAAATATTGTAAAATACTTACAAGCCACCTTACAATATATATAAACATACATAATATCTAAAAGTATATAATTACATTAAGAACTCTAATAATAATTATTTTTTGGTATTTTATTCTTTATCTTTTAAAAATGCTATTATCCAACATTTATCCAACCTGCTATTTGCATGTTTATTTGAATATCCAATTTATAAATAGCCTAAAAAAACATATATGAATAGCCTAAAAAAACATATATGCAAATAATTTAATTAAAAAATATCAAAAAAACAATTCAGAGCCACCTCTCTCTCTCTCTCTCTCTCTCTCTCTCTCTCTCGTTACAATACAGCCAAGTGATCAAATTAGGGTTTTCAAAATCTTCAACAATCTCTTCTTCGTCGTCATCATCTTCTTCTAGAGAGAGAAAGTGTTTTAGAGAGAGAAAGTATGAGGGATACGAGCTTGGATCTTTTCGATCCGAGGACGGTGATGGACTCCGACTACTCCCCCAACGGCGGTCGCGACGGCGATTTTGGCTTTGCTTTCAACGATAGTAACTTCTCCGACAGAGTGCTCCGAATCGAGATCATGGCCGATTCGCCGGAGACTGGGTCGGACGGCGAGGGATGTCACGGTCTTGCCGATTGGGCTAGGTATCGGAAGCGCAGAAGAGAAGATGTCAAGAAAGATAACGGTTAGTTCTTGTTATTGTTGTTTTTTTTGGTTGTATATGTATCTCTGTGTGTTTTTGTGTTGTGAATTTTGCTTGAATCTGCAGGATTTGAGTCTTGTTTTGATTATTTTTTTTTTTAATGATAAAGCAAGTGTGTGTATTTAGACGTTTTTATGTGTGTATAATTCAGTTTGGTTGCTGAGAAAATCTGAGAGTTATAATTTAGTTTGGTTTTCTTTCCCCTTCTAACAATATCATACATATTGTGTACACTTCCCATACTTTTTTCGCAATCCTTGTGTAATTCAACTAATGTTAACCGACATTGTTTGTTGGCAGCTGTGGATACTGTTGGATGCCCTGAGGAGCAGATTTTGAGTTGTAACCAGCCTGATACTGATGATTGTGTGGGCTGTGAAAATCAAGATGAGGAAGCAGTTGCAATGATTGAAGAATCACCATCAGGTATTGGAATAGTTTTTAAGTCAAGTTATTGCATTTTTTCTTTCGAGTTTCAACTTTTATTTGCTTCAGAAATCAGTCCAAATTTATTTGATTTCAGCCATTCATATTCTGCCCCACAAGGCATCTTCAATTATTACTAGTATTTTAAGTTTAAAATTTGAAAATTTGGAGAAGAAAAAATTACGCTGAGTTAGCTATTCTGGGTCAGCTATACAAATTATTGTTCTGTTATGTAACTCTATGTACTGCTGTATTTGCCTTTGAATTATTGATTTGTAGGAGATGATGAAGCTGGAAATAGTAATGATTCAAACTGGAGCATGGATTGTTCTACAGTTTTGAGAGTGAAAACTTTGCATATCAGTTCTCCAATTTTGGCAGCAAAAAGTCCATTTTTCTATAAGGTAAAGATCATTATTTTCCTTTTGAAGTTTTTTTATTTTTTAATTTTTTTTTATTTTGAACTTTCTAAAATTGCTGGATGATGTTTATTTCCATTTTATTTAATCATTTGTGTAGCTCTTCTCAAATGGGATGAGGGAGTCAGAGCAGCGACATGTAGCACTACGAATCAATGCTTCTGGTATGGATTAAATTTTAAGCATCCTACGTTTGATATGACTAGCTTCTTCAATCTAGTCGCATTTGGAATAGATAATGTATAGGTGTTCTATTGTTCTGCAATATGGTTGAGTATGTTTTAGGTCATGCTAATTCTGTTAGAACAGTTCCTCTTGTTTAAGTGATTTGTGAGAATGGAATAGACGTTCAGCCTTTGACAGACGCAGCAAAGCAGTTCCTTGCTGCCCGTTACAAAGACATAACCAAGTGGGCCCTTCTTTTTGTTAGAAGATATTTTTGAAGTTTTTTTTTTGAATTTCCAATAATTGTTTTCTTGCAGAAATAAAATCAATAAGAAAACAATAGGTGTTTTTAAACTTCTCATTATTTTTGCTTCACTACAACATGAAAATAAAAACATCGAAAATGAACATTATCAACAGGCCCTAACTTTTCTCAAGCCATTCTTCCTTTGAATATGTGAACATTGTTCGATTACTACTACTGTTAGATCCTGTTTGAGATCTCTGATTTACTAGTTTTGCACCTTTGGCCAGGTTCCATGACGAGGTTATGAGCTTGCCCCTTGCTGGAATTGAAGCAGTTTTGTCTAGTGATGATCTCCAGGTGGCATCAGAAGATGCTGTATATGATTTCGTGTTGAAGTGGTCCAGAGCCCAGTACCCAAAACTTGAGGAGCGGAGAGAAATCCTAGGTTCTCGCCTTGGTCGCTACATCCGCTATCCTTACATGACTCCCCGTAAGCTAAAGAAGGTTTTAACATGCAATGACTTTGATCACGACCTTGCATCCAAGGTTGTGCTAGAGGCTCTATTTTTCAAAGCCGAGGCCCCGCACCGACAGAGAACCCTTGCTGCAGAAGAGTCCGCCACCATAAACCGACGCTTCATTGAACGAGCCTACAAATATCGGCCCGTAAAGGTGATCGAGTTTGAACTCCCGCGACAGCAATGTGTGGTTTACCTGGATCTGAAGCGAGAGGAGTGTGCAAATTTGTTCCCATCCGGGCGAGTGTATTCCCAAGCGTTCCACCTAGGTGGACAAGGTTTCTTCTTATCAGCACACTGCAACATGGACCAACAGAGCTCGTTCCATTGTTTCGGGCTGTTTCTCGGAATGCAGGAAAAAGGGTCCGTCACTTTTGCGGTCGACTACGAGTTTGCAGCACGGTCAAAGCCAACAGAGGAGTACATTAGCAAATACAAAGGCAATTACACTTTTACAGGAGGCAAAGCTGTTGGCTACCGCAACTTATTTGCCATACAATGGACTTCATTCATGGCCGAGGATAGTCTTTATTTCCTCAAGGGCATACTCCATCTCAGGGCCGAGCTTACTATCAGGCACTGATAAACTCAGACTATTTTGACTTTGCTTCTCAGGTAGGCTAACCTTCGCAGTAAAGGTAAGGAGTTATGTTTCAAGTTAAGATGTCATTTGTTGGTCTTGAGTCCACAGGCCAAATCATGCTCTAGAAGACGGTAAAAAATGTATATGCGTTGCTTGTTGGAGAGAGAGGAAGAATTTCCCTTCCCATCTCGTTAGACTTTTTAAAAAAAATGCAAATACAGAGGATGTTGTTGATTTGGTGTTTGTGTGCGCCTTTTATTAGACTTCTGTTTGGTAGGGAAAAATTACATGCTGCATCAAATTAGTCTTTGGATTTTTTTCTATAAGCCATGCTTTTGACAAAATCTGTTGCTTTATTTTGGGTGACCCTCTTTTTTTGGAAGATTGAAAAGTCTAGACGCCCTCAATCCCACGATTTCCTGCGGCTTTACAACAATTTGTTTGGTTGGATAGAAAAATAGTGTGTAGAGAAGGGGAGAGTAGCAGAAACGCCGCAGTTTTAAGTCAACTGTTGGGTTGGACAGAAAAATGGAGGGGTGTAGGTAGGCAGAAATAGCTTAACTCGATTGCCTTTTACAATTGGCCTAGGTTTAAAAAGTTGGCTATGATTATTTATTTATTTATTTATTTTTTGATTAGCCAAGGATTTTCTTGGAATATATATATATATATTTTTTCATTTTTGGGAGAAAAAATCATAAAATATCATACCTACTCGTCGGCTTTCTTTTCTTTCCCTTTTTTCAAATTTCCTTTTCTAGGGATATGAATATGATGGTTGGGAACCTTGAAGGCCAGTCCCAACTTAGAATGACATTAGCTTGAGCATAAATTCATTTACTGTATTCTTAGGCCTCGTTTGGCAAGTGTTTATTTTAGTCTAAAAGTTAAAAAGTTATTAAAAAAAATCAAAAAACTTATATAACCTATGCTAAAAAATCAAAATTTTTATTTTTTTTCTACTTTTTGTATATTTTTTCGTAAAAAATTAAAAAATCATCTAAACATGTTAGTTTTTTTTGTCTCATATTTTAGTTAAAATGGTAAAAAATTATTAAAATAGTTTGTTTCCAAACGAGGCTTTAGTACTAATATTTATGCCTCTCAAGTTTTTATTTTTATTACTTATTTTTTATACAACTTGTTATTCAACTCAAAGAATCGACTAAAGGTTGGTTTGAGGTACACTATATAATCTATCTTTTTATCTTTTTTTCATCACATCACTTCTCTACTTTTCTGTATATTTTTTCGTAAAAAGACAAAAAGTACACTTTTTTAGGATACTTCAAACCAAATCTAATTTGGGGACCATCTTACTGTCCACTAGAGGGTTTCATTTAAAGTTAGGGCAAGTACCGTACGAATTGGTCCAAAAAAATTATTTACATTTATGAGGTTTTGAATTTTAGACCATGAAGAGAGTACACTGTATGCCCAAGCTTTGACCACCAGAAGTTTATGCCTCTCAAGTTGTTGGCCAAGTAACATCTTAACTAACTTTTCGTCTTCACTCGGTTAAGTTGTTAGTCATATAAGAACCAATGCATATATTGATGAAATTTAAAAAGGGAGGAAAAAATAATTTGAAAACACATTAAGCACACAAAACTGCAAACTCACTATGCACTTATTGGTTTAAAGACACTACCCATCTCTTTACAAAATGTACGTTGAAAAGGTAAAATTAGATCATTGGGTACGTGAAATGTGAATATTAGCATGTAATGTCTTATACTTTTCTTTTCACTCTTCTTGTTGTTTCTGTTATATTAAAATGTATTTTTGTCTTTTTCTTCTTTTCTTAAGAACTTCTTATAAGAAAAATAAAAATTAAAAAAAAATTATATTATGTAGTTTCATTTTCATCACATATTTGTTCTTTTTTCTTATTTTCCTTTTTCTTTTTCTTCTATTATATTTTTATGGATAATGTTTGAGAGCTTGAAACATTGCCCCCCCGAATCCTCCTAATGCCCAAAACGACGTCGTTTTGGGCATTAGGCTTTTTTTTTTCCCTTTTTTTCTTCCATTTTCGACCATTTTCGATCTGAAACGCAGGGGGAAGAGGGAGAGGGCGAGGGCGAGGGAGAGGGAGAGAGAGAGAGAGGGAGAGTGGAGAGGAGAGAGGGATACACAAGAGAGGGAGAGAAGAGAGAAGAGGGAATGGAGACACACACACACACAGAGGCCCCTGCATTTCGGTCGATCCGCCGATCGTCGTAGCTCCGTCGATCGTCGGTCCGCCGTCTGCCTCCGCCGCCGCCGTCTGCCTCTGCTTCTTCTTCTTCCCTTCGTCTGCTTCTTCTTCTCTGATTGAACCAAAAACGGCATCGTTTTTGGTTTCGGGGGATTAGGGGGGGCAATGTTTCGAGCTACGTAGCACGGTCCTATTTTTATTATGTTATGTTGTAGATGCAACATATTGTACAAATACAACATATTTTTATCATACAAATAGACAAATATATTAAAAATTTAAATTAATGTTCATACAAATGCATTAGCATGTTGTACAAATGCTTACTTTAACATGCTTTCGAAAAACATTTCACATTCAATAAAAAGAATTGAATAAATTTTTGAAAAAGAAACTTTTCAAAAATGTACATAAAAAAGAGTATATGACACTATGCAATTCCTAAAAAAATCTATATAATATTCGAAAAAGAAACTTTTAAAAATTGTTAAGAAACCATACCATGGGATGTGCATTTTCCTTTCCTTTGCCATAAGGAATAGCTTTTTTTGTTTCCTTTGATATTGCTTTGTCTTTTTCCTTTGCCTTTGCCTATAAAAAATAAGTAGAATATATTTATAAATTATTTTTAAGAAGATAAGAAAATACATATCCAATGTTCAAGTGACTTTTAGGCTTACCTCACAAATGCGAATAGTATTAAGGTCACGCTCATCGCGAATAACAACATTAACATTTCTTTCTTAAAGAAATCGAACCTATACATACAAAAACTTTAGAGTGATAAATAAAACTTTATACACATAAATAAGAAAATTAGTAAAGGGAGGTGATATTACGGTTCGATGTAAGTCCCCATCCACCTATAAAGTATGAGGAAAAAAAAATTAGAATAGCGATATTGTCCATAACTGTTGTACTTAAATTTATAACAGAGGTACTTTAATTTATATGAAGAGAGAGAGGAAAAAGAAAAAAAAAGAACTTACTTGACCAAAAATAGTGATATTGTCCATAATTGTTGTACTTCAACTTAAAAATGTTTGGTTATATAATTTTAGACACCAAGAAACAAAAAATTATCAATAATAAAAGTTAACATGGATTTCATTGACAATGAAATGTTATTTCTAAATCTGTTGCTACCAAATCGAATAATAAAATTCAAAATTTTATTTAAATAAATAACTGTCATGAATAGAAAATACTTAACGGGTTACAATGAAGAGGAGAAGAAATAAATAAAAATATAAACATCTAAGAAAAAGAAAAATGACAACCCAATGTTTAGAATAGATGTATTTTAACAATCACATTAAAATGATAAAATTAAAATCGGAGTACAACAATTGTCCAAATTTAAACTTTTCTCTTTTCTAATTGACTTCAATTTTATAGAGATGAAATATAAAATACAATTTTTTATATTTTTTTTATAATAAAATGTTATAAAAAACGGATTATGTTAAATACTTGGGTTAAGTTAAATACTTGTAAATTGAACACATTTGTTTTTTTTTTTTTTTCATGAAGACAACATAGAATACTATTCTCCTTAATTTCATATTGATACTATACACACATATATACTTTCATGAAAAGTGTGTTATTCCCTTAATTTCACATAGATACTACATGCCCCTGTTTGAAATTTATATATTAAATCTGGTGCACTCTGTCACCCCCAAATGTATTATTCCCTTAATTTTTTTGGGTTAAGTTAAATACTTGGTGAATTTGATAGAATAGATTTTTTACACAAACACATTAAAACGATAAATTAAAACCGGAGCAAAATAATTGTCCAAATTTGAACTTTTCTCTTTCTTAACTGACTTCAATTTTATAGAAATGAAATTAAAAACAAAATCAAAACCCATTATAATCATAAATATTTTGAAGTTCACCATTTATGACTTGAAAAGTCCAGACATAAATTTATGCCCCCCAAAAAAAAAAATTCACAAGATAATAAACCCATTTTATAAGCAATAATGAATAATTATTTCGTAAAGGCAACTAAAGTAATACACACATATACATTCACTAGAATTTTTGAAATACAACATAAAATATTATACTCCCTTAAAAAGGTGCAAAAAAAAAAAAAAAAAAAAAAAAAAAAAAAAAAAAAAACCTC